CTAAAGTACAAAAAACTTTGAGATATAATGCAATAGAAATATTAGATAGCTAAAAAGATGAGAGTGCTAGAAACAGAAGGCATAGGGAACATGCTTCAGATAGACTTAACTAACCATCTAATATTTCCCCTGAATTTGCAACCATTTCATGATAATTTATAATTACGGAGTAAAAAACACCTCTACATATGTGTTTGAGGATTAACAATGAAGTTGACAATTAAACATTTTAGCATAGTGCATAACTTTATATATAAATCCAAGTCATGTCTACGTACTGCATTCATTGCCGAAACAGGAAGCCAACCCCCATGTTGCTGTTGTGCAAGATCAAGCAAAGGAATAACTGCAGATTGCTTATAGTTGGATGGATAGTGAGTAAGTATTTCCTTCACCTGAATACAATCAGATCATCAAGACTCAAGATTGAACCAAACAAATACGACAGAATGGTTAAGATATCTGCACGCACAAAGTACTCTATACCTGCCCTAGAATCCCCTTTTTAAAGAATAATACGCTTAGCAGTGGTCAAAATTAAAAGAAGTCCAGCAAAGATTCCAGTTTTTGTAATGTACGATGACATGGGATAAAATAGAAGAAAGAAAAAATGCACAAAAATCGAAACAGACTAAAAACCTTTTTCATGTTTGTCTCTGTAAACTCCCATGGCAAGTCCGGGTTGTTATCAGGACTGTTAAGGTGCTGCAGACCAAAAATCACACACAGAAAAATGAGGGTCCAACCAGCACAAATTCATATCGACAATAAAGCACTTTAAAAAGAAAATGCTAATTCAAACTCACATAATTGAGCGCAGTTGAAAACGATCGCGAAACCTGATGAGCCAAAAAAAAAATCACAGATTTCAAAGCTGAGATTCATCACATGTAATCGGGATGGGGCAGCTACGGAACTGCAAGGAAAGGAGTGAAAATTGAAACAGACCCGTGGAAAACCGCCGATGGCATGGCGGATCTCCGCCAATCGTTGGGCGGCAAGGCGAGCTAGCATTTTCACTCCCGGGTAATGGTGCGAGCTGCTTCACCGGTGCTGTGTGACTTTTGGATTCGGGGCACGGGGTCTAGCTTTCACCCGATTCGATTTGGGCCAATTGGGTCATCAAAATTGATTACTCCTTCCTCTTTTAAAACTTTTTAATGTTTGAAATCTTTTATCAAATTTTATAAATCAAGACCGCAAATTATATAAAAATATTTAATTTATATGTAATTATAACAGAACAATATTTATTGTAAAATATACTACGGAGTAGTAGTTTTCATTTTGAAAAAAATTAACAAATCAAATTTTTATACTCTGTAATATATATTAGAAAATGCTTGGGGAACCTCATTTGGGGTATACCACAGCAAAAAGAGACACACACACATTGAGTATTTGTATATGCCTATTTTTACCGTAGTGTACACTTAGTGTACTCAAGTGATGTTCCCATAGCACTCTCCATATATATTTATTTAAAACAACGAAATATTCATTAATAGTCAACATATGTTACTCCTAATTTAACCATAAAAATCAAAATTTATAAACATTTTTATGTGATAGAGAAAGTATTTGAGATTTAAATTAGTGTCACGGGTTCACGGTGGACCGATCAAACATTTTACTTTTTAATATAACTAAATTTGTACCTGTGCAATATGCATGATATAATTTTAATCAAAATTTAAATTATGAATATAAGAAAAATATCTATATGTATAAATCTAAATATTTCGTAATCATTATTTAAATTGTACACAGTGTAAGTTGGATAAGAAACACGAACATAAATTTAAAGATCACTAGTAGGTCTTTGTGACTGAGAGCTCAATATGATCAATTAGATATATGTTCCTGACAATTACATTTGCATTTGTGCAGAGTTATTTGGAAAATGTGAATTAACAATAATAAAATTAATTATTCTTATGAAGATATACATTTAAAAATATTAAGTGTTTTATTCATTTTAAAGAACAATAGTACTACAATTAAATTGATTTTGTACACAGAGAATGTAACATGTTGGAAGGCAATAGTGTATGGAATCTTAGTGCTTGAGTTATGTATTTGGAAAAAAACAAAAAATCGTGGGGGATTGTAATAACCCGCAATACATTAGTATAATAAGGGAAATACTTGGTTCACATATAGAATTCTTATCCAGTATGACCTTATATAAGCACTATCATTGTCCATAAGGGAAATACTTGGTTCACAATCGTCACAAACTTTACAAACTTGCTACTTCATTTGTCCCTGAAAACCTTTCTTCTTTCTTTTTTCATCCGTTCCAAAAAACACTTCTTATTTTTATTAAAAAGTCACTTTTACCCTTTACTTTTTCATAATCTACCTATCACATCATACTTTTTTACTTATAATCTACCCATCAAATCCTGCTTTTACCCATCACATCAAAAGACATTTTTGAAAATTCAATACCAAAATACACCCCTTAAATCTCTTCAAAATCAAAACATCCAATGTTTAAAGAGACAGGGGCAGTATTCGTGAATTTCAATAAAAAAATTAAATAGTCTAAAATAATTTTAAAATGAGAATTTAAATTACAAATAGTAAATTTGTGGAGTTTGTAACGTAACCATTCTTTTTGTGAACTTTAGCATTGCTCAGTTCATAAGGTACAATAAAAAAATACAAGAGAATTATTTTTCTCCCAAAATATTATCCTTTCACTTTTTAAATTCTTAAAACAATTGATTTAGATTCATATCGCATTTTGTAATAAATAACAACGTAACAACAAACTCTTAGATGAATCGAGTACCACATAGATAGTTTACAATGGAAAGAAAAACTTTACCTAAATAAGAATAAAATATAATGACTTTTTTAATATAGGACTATATATTTTTATTTATCAATGTAGGATATGATCATTGGTCAAAATTCATTAGTTATTATTCAAGTAACTGTCCACCTGGACAAGGTGGACATTAATTCTTTTACTAGACATTATTAAGTTCTATTTAGAAAATAAAAAAGTTTAAATCATACATTGATAATTACTTATAATAATTAATCATGAAAATTTAGTAATAAAGAACATGCATTTGGAACTAGTTGCCTTTGAAAGTGTTGCAGATTTGGCATGAGGTCCTAATTAACCTAACCAACCATGATGAGTCACGAGACTACTGGTGTAAGCAGCACAACGACGAATATTGGCCGACTTCAATTTATGTGGCACTTTAATTTCTTTAATACTTTGCTCCTTCACATTGACAACCAATAACAAACGTGAAAACCAACCTATAAACAACTCGTCCTTTCCGATGCTCGAAACCATGAAACAACCACCCGCTAGCATATCCCTCATAGTATCAAGGCCAAACCTCGGCTTTCGAAGTGTAAACCTGGCCTTTCGAACCCAGCGCCATTTCGCATAATCCTCCAGAATCCATATGTCGAAACGTCCCACTCCTAGGTCACGTGCATGGCACATGCCCAAGTGTCCATCATGAACAAACAAAGTCATGAGCTTATGACCATCCACTTGCCCATCAACACATTCAACTTCTGGGTGTGGCAAAGCGTAGAGTTTTCGCGAGTCGATCTCGAATACCAACACTGCATGCATGCAATCGTCGCACGTCATCATATGAAGCGCTCCGTTTAAAGCTACTGGATAGTTGTTTGCGTCCTGCCTGCAAGAGAAACGGCTACAAGCAATTTTCTTCGTGGTGCGCGAAACGATGTTGTATGAAAAGTACTGAAAACACCTCTCCTCGGCAGAAACACGACGCACGCACAGATAATTGCATTCATTTGTCGCCTTGTGAAAGTAAACACCACACACAAAGTCTTGGAGTTCAGACCGAACTCCTAGAAGTTGTTGAGTGATGATGTTGAAAACAAAGTCGCATTTGATTGGATGAGAGGAAAAGATGTTCGTACCATCTTTCCAAAGCGTCGCGTAACTTTTAAGATGAAGAAACGGACCGCCACATGCACCGCGAACGGATGGAAAATAAAACCCTTTGTAGATGTTGAGATTGAAAGGAATTTGTCTCAACTTTTTGGAAACTGCATCATAAATATAGTAATCATCAGATTTCTTGTGAAGTCCCAATTGTATACCTTGCACAATGACAGCAGAAGGAGCTCTTTCGGCTTGCAACCCGGTGAAATAATGGGACAATGTTAAACTTCTCCAGTCCTGACACACCGTGCGACATCGTAAAACAGTGTCTGCAGGAAGCCTACTGAGAATGTCAATTAAGATGTCATCTGGAAGTTGACCAATCGATGCTTTTCCTCTTCTTGGAGGATCCTGCAGATTGAAGACAGAACATAAGAGATGAGAAATCTGGGGAAGGCATTCAATCACCATCATCAGGGCCGGGCTAGCTGCAATGAGAAACAAAACGGGTGGCCGGAGGGGACTAGTCGGCAGTCGCGCGCGACGGTTGTTTGGTTTGCACGGCGGCGGGGAGGAGAAAATTAAATTAAATAGAGACATAGACGGAGTCGGTGGTGATTGGTCTGATTTGGAAGAATATA